TAGCAGTAGCAGTAGCAGTAGCAGGTAGTAGTAGTAGTAGTAGTAGGAGGAGTAGTAGTAGTAGCAGTAGCAGCAGTAGAAGTAGTAGTAGTAGTAGCAGTAGCAGTAGCAGTAGCAGTAGCAGGTAGTAGTCGTAGTAGTGGTAGTGGTGGTAGTAGTAGTAGTAGTAGTAGTAGTAGCAGTAGCAGGAAACCAATGATCAAGCCTGCAGCATCTTTTCCAAACATAAACCTGGGTAGGTTCAGCACAAGATTTGTCTCCAGGAGCTCGTCTCTACCGACAAACACCTCAAAGACTTGGATCTTCCTTCTTTGCCGGGGCACTTGGCTGTCTGGGATTCCGAGTGGATTCCTTGGGCTCTTCTCCCCTCCATATGTGTATCTATATATATTATACACACAACAATATATATCCATATATATATATATATATATATATATATATTTTCTTTTTTCAGGCCGTGTGCTCAAGGAATCGGGAAGGTGTGAGAGGTGCTTTGGAGCGAGGTGGGAGAGTGCGTTTTTGTGGACGAGCTCCTTGTAGTCCAGGGCCTTTCCCCTTTACTTCGCCTGAATGACACGTGCATTCCGGAAAGGCTAGGAAAGGACAGCACAGCAGGTAATTGCAGCCTAAGTAGAGAGAGAGCGAGACCAGCGAAGCTTAAGGCTTACGAGGCAGATGTTGAGTCGGCATTGAATCGTGAGGCCGATGGTCGCCGAGCCGCTTGGCCTGTGCACCATGCTTCGATCAGGGTTCTGGCCAAACGCTCTAAATTGGGAGAAGATTCAATGCAGGCTTGAAATCGAAGGCGACACAGTGACAGTGTATCGCCTTGTGTCAGCATCTTGTTGTGCCCCTGGATCTTAGAAGACGAAAAGATTCGGTCCTGTCCTTGTGCCCCCNNCCCCCCCCCCCCCCCCCCCCCTTTGCCAGAGCTGCATCGGCTGGGCGACTTGGCGCTGCGCTTCCAGCATTGCGCCGTGCGCTGGGGCCCCGAGTCTGGGACACATGGCCATGGAAAGCGATGCTGCAACTGTTGCCACTCCGAAGAATGCCGGTGAGAGAAGTTAATGCAAGTTGTGGAAAGCATGAAGTGACAGGTGTGGGCCACGGTGCTCGTGATCTTCTAGTTTTGGTATCTGCACACTGTCGAGACTTGCAAGTTGACGCAAGTCTGCCTCCGCAGCTGTACATAGGTTTCAAGGAGATCCTTTTGGGAGCATCGCGCTACACTAGAACTAAGTTGTTACGCAAGTTGTGGCAACGATGCAGCTGCATTGTCAGGTAGGTTTCGTCTTGGGGCAAAGAGAGGACGAGTGACGCACGAGGGTTTCGATAGGCCACGGAAGGCTCGCCACCAGATCTTTAGCTTTAGAAGGTCTACCAGCAGAGCTCGGCCCCACAGATCGACCGACTGCTTGGCCCGATGGCGCGGACAGACGCAGCGGCCGCTCCAAGGCGGCGCAACAAGGTGGGAAAAGCCCTTGAATCGAGACCTCTGTCCTATGCCAAACAGGATGTTATGGTGCCTGCGGGTGCAGCCCCACCACGAAAAAACAATCAGAAGAGCGCGACCCCTTGCTGAGAATTGCAGGTCAGCCGTGCTCAGAGTTCGAAGACTCGCCGGGAGCCATTTCGCGATTTGTTTCCATGTTGTGATCCGCAAAATATCAGCACCCGGATGATAGGCATAGGCACATTGCTTTCTGCAGCTGTTGCTGGAGTAATTTCTGACAGACCTGGTGCTCGAAAGATTCCTTCGGTTGCGCTGTGCGCAGGACTCGTCGGAGCAGAAAGCGCCCCTCTTCCCCGATGTTCCAGGAGCCCTTCGGCCCGCACCGGTACGTGCACACCTCCGAAAGCTTGCAGACAAGAGTGTTCATCCCTCCAGCCATCCCAAAGAGCAATTCAAGAAAGCTCTTTCCTTGCTTCTCCTGCCCCTTGTCCCTAAACCCTAAACCTTAGTCTCTAAACCCCTAAACCCCTAAACCCCTAAACCCCAAACCCGAAACCCTAAACCCTAAACTTGTCCCAGCCTTCTCCGAGGCCATTGCAGTTCTCCTGGCTTCCTCGCAACCCCGCGCGACCTCGCTGCCTGCCAAGAGCCGCAAGCCTCGGCCGCAGCCTGAGTTGCACTTCCGAGGGCTCCTTATTTACCTTTTTATAACTATAGTATAAACTATAGTAGAACTATAGCATATTTATAGTAGAACTATTCCGACTCTATGTCCACACCCCTCACTCCAAGCCCGACTCAAAGACTTGTGGCCTCGAGGCGCAAGGATCGCGCGGCATCCCCCGAGGCCGAGGCCAGCGGTTCAGACCCTGGCGCCGGGGCCCCGGCAAGGGAGGAATCCGAGTAGTTATACTATAGTTATACTATAGTTCTACTATAGTTCTACTATAGTTCTACTATAGTTATACTATACTTCTACTATAGTTTTGGAGATGACGGCTACTCATACCAGTCTTACCACTGGCCACACCCACAGCAGACACTCTTGGGAACAGCATGCCCCACCTCGCACGATTCAGACTGTCAGCCTGAGTGTGGTGATCTCACCGTCTCTCAGCGGAATCGGTTTGATCTTCAGGATGCCTCAGAACCCACCCAGCAGCAGCAGCAGCAGCAGCAGCAGCAGCAGCAGCAGCAGCAGCAGCAGCAGCAGCAGCAGCAGTTGTCACGGCTGCTGCTGCTGCTGCAACTCCGCTACGACTGTGCTTCACACTTTTGACCCATCATTCGACATTCGATTGTGGTAATCGATGCAGCGCTACAAGTTGTTGCGGGTGTACGAGTGAAAGACTTAAGGATGGGTCGAAGAATTGCAGTTAGTTTGACATGTGCATGTTGTTTGAAGGAATGTGAATGTGCTTTGTGAGTCTGACGGTCCAAGAGAAGGCCAGTTGAATGCTTGATAAGAGTAGCCGAGGGGGTGTCTTGATTGTATACTGAACATAGTGATGCAGAGACGGTTGCCGTTGAGTAGAGGCCTCGCCGAAAGCTCCTGACATGGGACAGAAGTCCACGCCGCCAGAGTCTCAATCTGGAGAGTGAGGGATGACTTAGTGAAGGCTTCGTCTGCTGGCCTCCAGGCATCTTCTGGAGCTTAAGTGTCGGATGTATTAATACGAGGCCCTTGGGCCCAGGACCCCACGCTTTCCTCGTTTTAAGTACGTCAGATTCGTGGGAGGGGAGCCTGTATCATATCTCATCTCCCAGGTGGCAAGTGCATGCCCTGCGCCTGGAGAAGCTGCTGCAGGAGACGTTTGAGTGGAAGCGAAGAAATTCCCCCACTCCCTGGAGAGATCGTGGTTGTTTCTTCGTGCGTGAAGGGAGGGTTATAGTCATGGTCCAGTCAGTGAGTCAGGAGACGGACGTCGCGTTGGTCGCGGAAAACACGCCCCTTGGCAGATCGCGGCTGATGTGAGGAGATGGGTGCTCGCTTGCATGAACCTGCCATCGGACGGCATGTCTGAAGGAGCAAGCCAAGGGCACTCCGAAACTTTAGCAAGCTTGTCAGAGTCAGTCCTCGCCTATACAATGTGGTTCCACTATACGTTGATCATTGGTGGTGTTGTATGAAGAACTAAAACATCCGACGCCAGCACACAGCTTTTCGGAGGTTTCTCTCCGTAGCCCCCGAGGGCTCGGGCGCAGAAAGGCGGCGCTTCGGGAAGACATGGGAAGAGAATCTGGTGTGCTGATACTTCATGGGGTTTGGGCCGCGAAAGCAGCGCTGTTTCCAAAGTCTAGCTACAGCAGGTGTCTATGAGCAAACGGTGTAACCTGATCCAGGGGTTGTAACAGGAAGCTTTGTTTCAGGAACTGGCTTGAAACTGTTTCACATCAGAAACCAGGTCCGTTGTGGCAGGAACTGGGGGGAGGCCTGTAGCAGTGATCGGGGGGGTTGTAATCGGAAGTGCTTCTACTGGTTAACCATAGTTTGATGAGGACTCCGAATAACATCGTAATAGCACCAATGGTTTGTAAAAGGTTGAGGCTTTCGGGTTCAGGGTGGGTTAGGTCTACTAAGCCGCAGTTTTGCTCGTCACGCGACGTACGCGACAAGCTTTGGGCAACTCGAAAATTCGAATTTTCAATATCTCGCTTGATTCAAAATACAAAAAATAAAATTTCTGGGTTCTCGGTGATTCGAAAAGTCGAGACCTTGAAATTCCAAAACTCGAGAAATGCAAAACATCGAAAACGTTCGGCAAATTCGAAAATCAGAATTTTCCAAGATCTCGCTTGATTCCACAATACGAAAACTTGAATTTTCTGGTCTCGATTTTTGCTGTTTGGAAGGTACAGGGTGTTGTTACCATGACAGGTTCTTGATGTATATGAACAAGCTTTCTGCATATAGCATCAAGCTTACATGAGTTCACCATGACAGCTCATGGTGTCCGACGTAATTCTGCATACTTGCTCTTGGAGAGCTTTCATCTTGGCTTTTTCAGAGCATGACTTCACGTCATGATGCTATCATTTCCACTTTCTACTATTGCATCATTTCTCTCGCTGGGCCCATGACGGCTGTGCGGGCACGGGCTCTGCATCGGTGCATGTCGTTTTTTGAGTTGTTTTGAGTTCACTGCCTGCTTGAAGTAGCATCAACTTGCGCATATGCCTGTTCATCATCAGGAGCTAGTACATGCAGCATCAGACCATGATCCATGACCAGGTGCGGGCACATGTATTATCAGTATGAGATGTAAATCCGAGCATAGAATTAAGACGGTGGCATGGCTCGATCGTTTCGACGGCAACTCGACTACTCTCCTTGCGACGATGTGATGTTTGCAGTCAAAGATCTTAAATCGGAGTGGTCGGGTTCGGAGCTCCCGGAAGATCTTCTTCGTCCGGCCGCACGTCGTTGGGCTCAGGGCGCTGGCAAGACTCTTGGAAGTTACTCCGCAACCAAACCGATGCCCGGCAGCTGACCCCGCCTTCTCTTGGACGGCAAGATGCTTCAAGCATGAGTTGTGCCATGCTAACGAGGGGTCCGTTTTCCGTTTCGAAGGCCACATAGCCCAGAATCACTTTTATTGCTTGCGGGTGCAGAAAGCTGGCGAGTGCCCTGCAAATGGAGATACAGTGGAGATTTCCGTCGAGTCCGTCACAGCTGAGTTGACTGCATTCGAGAACCTGTTTCGGCATCGCAGTGGCATCGCTGCTTTGCCACAATGGCAGGTGGTGGCAATGGCCTGTGGACGAAAGCGCAGCTGCGGTAGTTGCGGCCCAGAAGCCTGAGTGGATGCAACATTCATGGAATGACAGGGAAACATCTTTTTATGTTTGAGGAAGGCAGAGGAGGCGTCTTCGCCCAGGCCTGGGCTTGTTGCGTAGCTATTAATCTTGGACCACCACGGGCCGCTTCTGCATGCCTCCCTCCCTATTTGGGGTTACAGCTTGTTCCCGTCACCGCTGGATGAGTTCTCTCATGTTCTCTCCGAGCCACTCGGGGAGAACGCGGAGCACGGATGATGGGTCGCCAAGTTGGCCGTCATCCGAGGTTCCAGGGTACAAGGATGCACATTGAGGGAAGCGTCGCCAGCAAGTCGATGTCTGACAGTGCATGTGCTTGACCCCAGGACGAGCGATCGTCATAGTGCGAGAGGCATGGTCTTCGAAAGATGATGATGCTGGCATGAATGCCCGAATGATGCATACGCTCGAGCATTCATGCATCGCCCGTGGCAAGACGCGGGTGCCCGCGATGCAAGGAACTTCGCTTGTGCACGGCTCGGACATGGAACGAGGGCAAGGCACAGATGCCTTCTTGTTGTGCATTGCTTTGCAACATTTCCTGCCAGAAGAGCCGAGTAACAACCACTCCCGCCCGGAGTTCACGACGCCTTTCGGTGAAGGGCACACGGACTCCAGGACAGCCATTATGCGGATTGCTTTGCCAACCTGTTTCGGGGAGTGTAGCTTGATGCCTATTCAGATTATTCCAGCTGTGCTTCGGCCGTAACCA